GTGAGCATAGTAGGAATTTTTGTGTGGTCATCAATCTTGCTTCCCTTGCTGTTTTTGAGCTACTGCTGTTGCTGTACCTTGCATGCTTATGTTTGTCCAGAAATAAGTGGATACCTCGCGGGGATGCGTGTAAGCGCGATCTGATCTGCGCAGCCTACACGTATCCACGCGCGCCGATTCGTAACCGCTAACAGACTTGACACCTTCGATACCGGATAGGCGGGAAGAGTTCTTCCCCCACGCACCTAAATGGAAGGGAGTTCCGATATCACATCGGAAAATCCCCCTTGCCGGTTAGATGCGTGCGGGAGAATTCCATCACACCGCGATGACAAGATGACGTGCTCGAGGGACTCAGACTCGTCGTGGGATCCGGAGTATTTCAACCCTTGGGTGAGCGAGTGTCTCAGACGGAGACGCCCGGAATTCCCCTGCCTAACCGAGAATCGATTGTGCCCTAGGGAGTTTCACTATCCTACGACCAGCGATCCGAGGTGTCCCGATTTTCCCACTTTGGATAACTCGCACTACTTCATATCCCCCGGCTTCGTCGTTATCGCTACCAACTTCCCTCCCTTCCGCCTCCTTCTCCCGTATCACCAGCTCACAGTTGTCCCGTGGAATTCCATCGCCGAGTACTGGCCCCGAACGCCCTGCGGAAACTGTCGGCAACGCGGCAACCGACGAGCCCCTGAAAACAGGAGGCCTAACCCAAATGCGCGACGGCAGACGCCACATGGCTGCCCCCAAAGGCCCGACTCATCAGAATCACAGCCATTCCGGGCAGACCTCTCCCCGAACCGCCGCCCCCAAAACAGACGAACCGGACGGCCTTGAATGCACCGCGCATGCCATCTGCCTTATGCTACACGACATAGAACGCCCGCAGACCGGAAGTAACTCGCCCTAAGCCTCATTGCACCCGTGCCCCTGAAACCCTGCCACAGGAGATGTCAGTTCTGACTTGGGACTCCACCCCCACTTTCCCAAAAATCCTTGGCACACCCCTTGTCGCACTTCCAGGCCCACATCCTACTCCGATCAGGAAGTCGCGCTGGGCGTGAGGTTGGGCGTCACAGGGTGACAGTATGTCTAGATATTATGGTGCACGATATTCATGAAGTAAGCCACTCATAAGAAGTAAAAAAAATATGGCTGGGTTAATGCACTCTAAATATTTCGTGCTAGAGAGTGGCTGAGTTAACACTCAGCGCCCTTCATTCCAACGGAGACGCTCCCACCCCCACCAGTGGAACTCCCACTCCCATTGGTGGCGCCACCGCCCGTAGAGCTTCAGGTCTTCACGCTCCCAGTCGAGATAGTCAACAGTAGTTCTCACGTGCTCCTCCCAACACCAGTCCCACCACCACCGGCTGCCCACCCACTACCTCCAGAGGTGCGGCTGTTGGATGTGCCCGCTGTCCTGTACTGGACGCACTCTCCCTTCGTCGTGTTCACACTGCACTCGTTACTTGACTCTTGTAGATTCTGTTGTAGGATGTCTGTTGTAGGAGGAGTTGGAATGGCCCTGCTCCCTGGTATTCCACAGGGAGACACAGCCCCTTGTCGGAGCTGAGGGCGATGGCCAAACCTAGAAATCGTCGAGGAAAACATCGTTCTGCCCCACACCCTGAATCCCACCCTCGCTGCCGACGCAGAGCGCTGCCGTCTCCGGCCAGCCAGTACGCCCGGTAGGGCAGCTCTTCATGGGGCTGCCTTCCTTTCCCCCTTTTTCTTTTTTTTTTTAAGTCCGATGAATTTGGGCTACTTCCCAGAGTGGCGCGTCTAGGAAGTACTGGTGGTTGCCTCCGGCCCTGGGGCCAGGTCCCACTAGCAGCGTTGAGCTACCTCAACGCCTGAATGTGGACGTCTTTGCAGTTCAGGAAACTCAACACCAGTTCTGCACATCTCGGCAAAAGCGTCCAGATTCAGGCGTTGAGGTACCTCAACGCTGCTAGTGGGACTTGGCCCCTGGGGCCGTAATGAAAAGGTTAAAATTTGAAAAAAAAAAAATACATCACTTGGCAGGCACATGAGAGTCGTTGTTTGTAATTGGCGAAAAAGGCAAAAAAGGCCTGGCGCAGGCCCGGGCCGGAGCGTGCTGGACCAGGCACTGTGGACTTCGGCAACCGGGCACTGTGCACATCACCAACAGGCCCTGCAGAGCCACGGAGCATCCAACATCGAGAGAGAGAGAGAGAGAGAGAGAGAGAGAGAGAGAGAGAGAGAGAGAGATCATCTGCACATCGCGTGATCCAGCGCTGACACGTGCCAGTGCAAGGGGAGCGAAGGAGGCGGAGAGAGAGAGAGAGAGATGTGCAGATGCTCTCTCTCTCTCTCTCTCTCTCTGTGTGTGTGTGTGTGTGTGTGTGTGTGTGTGTGTGTGTGTGTGTGCGCGCGCGGGGGGGCTGCCCTTCGTTTTTGTTTTTTTTATCCATTCTTCTTTTGATGATCATGCAGATATATCGAGATCCCAGCCCATGTGGCTGACTGTTGACACCCATGTATCTGTTGAAAAACAGATCTGAGTTGAACTTCCCGACGGAACTCAGATGCTTGGTACTAATCAGTAACTTAAAGGTTACCGGAGCTAGTCTAAGAATGTGTGCATGCTTTGGGAGATCTGCGACATGACTTTGAACAGAAAGAACTCGTGAACATCTGGACGGTCTCTCCTATTACAGTAGGTTTCTTTAATTCTGGGTTTTCTTCCTAGGTGAGCAGTGGACTGGAGTGGATAGTGCAACGCGTAGTGAGCTGTGGGCACGAAGCCACCATGCGCAGTGAGTCGGCACTAAACGCAGCAGCCGGCAAAGGAGGTCCAGGGGCAAGCAAGGAGGGTCATGTCAATGGTTGTGATTCAATCATCATTGGTTTGATGGCATACATATTCTTTATGTATGGTTCATAGATCATCAGCACAGCGGGCCAACGTCCTCCTGCATGCAAGTACGGATTCGAACCAGCGACCTCGGCCTCAGGAGCCACGTAGTTTATCCACTCCAGCCAGGACACGGTTCTTGTTTTTTTTTTTTTTTTTTTCAAGAAAGGAATCTTATCCACTCCAGCCAGGACACGGTTTTTTTTTTTTTGTTTTTGTTTTAAGAAAGTAATCTATATTCTTCTCTCAATCTTCTTTCGTATATATCTATCTCATCCTCTCCCTACTCTATGTGTAGTACGGGGGAACACCAACCAAACCTGTAACTGTCCCCAGCCAAACCATACCGATCATGATATCGTCCCACCGCTGCATGGCTGTAGTGACCAACCCAACCCACACCATACACAAACAACAGACGTACAAATCACACGGACAATATAATTCTGGCAGACTTCGCCCCACTGCACAAGACCCCTCCATCCGTCCACATCACACGGACGCGGCAATTCTCGCAGACTTCTATGCACTGCACAAGACCCCTCCATCGGTACTTACCCCGAACACCACACACAGGGTACTTGGACACGTCACACACTTCGCTCCAGTGCACAAGACCCCTCCCCGTTGGTTAACGGGGTTCTACGGTTCACTGATCCGCAGAGCGGGCCAAACTCCTCCATGCAAGCACCGATTCGAACCAGCGACCTCGGGCTCAGCAGCCAAGTATCTTATCCACTATAGCCAGGATACGGTGTTAAGGTGGAACCATACGGGTCGTGATATCCAGGAGCTGTTTATCAGGGTTTTTTTTTTTTTTTTTTTTTTTAATCAGTTGTGTTAACGTTTGGCATTTTGATTCTGTTTCAGCATAATTCCAGGAGCAAAGGGCGAATTTTCATGCCATGTCACATTCAGAACAAGGGAGGGAAGAGAAAAGAGGAGAGAACAGAGGAGAGGAAGAGTAGAGGAGAAAGCAAGGATGACACAGTCACACAGGAAATCAGGCAAAACCGGGTTTTGGGCACGCCTTCCTAGCCACAAATATATGGTCCCTGTGAGTAAACCAAAAAAAAAAAAAAAAAAAAAAAAAACAGATTAATGAGGTAACCCCTAGGCTACCAGAGTGGCCCGGGTTCACTTGCACGGCCAGGCCAAAAAAAAATTAAAAATTAAAATTATTTTTTAATTTTAATTTTTATTCTAAATTTGGTGAAGAATTTCGATGTGACCCTGAGGCAGACGTTGTTCAGTTTATTTTTCTGCATAACATAGTTTTTTTTCGGATTTTTCGGTTTTTTTTTTTTTTTTTTTTTTGCTGGGACCTTCCCTGGTCCTTGCACGGGCTGGCCACCCGGGACCC